TTTTAACAATATATATATATATATATATATATATATATATAGTTTGTGTGTGTCTGTATATGTGTGTTTTGCTGAATTACGAGCTCAGCTCTGGATACATAATTTGTCTTAATAAAATAAATAAGCAAATTGCAAATTAAAGGATCACAAAACTAACCTTTGTATTGTTTAAAAAATAAAAAAGCTCCACCATTGTCCATAATTTGAGCCTAAACCTATAAATTCTGTGTATGATTTGATCTGGTTGATACCGAGGGGGCGTGTCCCGCATGACCAATGGCGGCCACGAGAACATTTAGCGTTACTAAGCAACCACTACTTTCAACGGTTTTATGGCGTAGTATCGTCCTTCGCTTTTAAAACCAGAGTAAACGTTAACCCGCCCCGTTTATCGTTTAGACGACATTTTTACGACTTATCAACAGTTCGTTCACCGGTCACTCCCATTTTACGAACCAAATAGTACATTAGCATAAAGGAGGTTACTCCTGTTCGTTAGCTTACACGTTCATGATGAACATGGAGGGCGTGACGCAAAATGTATTTAAAAATATTTAAATGACAATAACGTCAATTTGCGGGTGTCAAATTAAACCCTGAAGCTCAGTGAAAATTTATGATGAAAAATACACGAAAAGACTCAATGTAACAACGATGACTTACCTTCCAGTAATCGAGAAATGAGGCTATCGACGTTCAGCTCGACCTCCGCCATGTTTCTTGCTCGCGCAGGCAGGTTGTGGGGAAGTGCATCCCTGGGTGAAGACTTAAAGGCTTACAGCAGGAGGAACCCCAGTATGGACGCTGTTTCTGTTCAGTTTGATTTACTCTACATTTTTACATTACAGTTTGCAAAAATTGTACATTTTACTGCATTTTTTTAAACTCTGAAATGGTAAAAGTATGGCAATCAAACAAAAAGGGTTACCCTGAACTACATGCAATAGTGCAGTTCTTTTATTCCAATAGTTTTTTCTAATACATTGTATGTGATTCAGAACTGTGGATCCACACTCCATTTAAACAAAACAGGAGGTCACATTAGTTGAAAACCACCTGGAAGCTTGAGTCATGTAATTGACCTACATTAGTTTGTAGATAAAAAAATATGGTGGAAATGGACAATCTCGGAGAAGACTTTCAGGTGGAAATTCTGGTATGGATTATTTCACAATGCTTTATTTATGTATTTAATTTTGAGCATCTCGGCGTTCCATATTCTGGAGTGATTTTTTTTTTTTTTGCAAAATGTGTAAGAGAAAAAAAAAAGAGTAAAAAATAAGTCACACATTTTGCTTACAACTTTGTAAAATTAGGGAACAACCATCAAAAAGAGAAAAATATTGTGCATTCTTTGTGAATAATTTTTGACCAGTCTTTCCTACTTTGTGCTGAATAATATAGCATAAACGTAAGACTGCAAATATTTGATGTTCATATATTTTATTTTCAGGCAGCCTGTTATAGTTTGAACAGAAAGTAAATAAAATGCAGTCAATGTTTGGGACACTTTCTTTACAGCTGGAAATATTACATTTTATTTTATGTGAATCTAATCCAATCTTGTTTATATTGATAATAAAGTTAAGTCAGAGAAATATACTAACATTTGTAATTCTGAATTTACACAAATATTTAACATATTATGTCCAGTACAAAAAATACATAATATTTCAGAAATTATGCACACTATTGTGCATATTTCCATACCAAAAATTGAAAATGAACGTCTGCAGAACAATAGTGTCACCATGAAGGTGTGTCTAGTCTCATGCAGCGTTCATTTAGCTAATTTAACTAACTGATGCCAAAAGTCAAATGCCAAGAAAAAAAAACCTGACAATCTTAATGGGGACTATTTAAAATGGGTGAACCGTTAAGAAGTTCATAATGGCATATTAATTTTAGCTATAAACACCTTTAAAGCCACATTCAAGCTCCTTTCATATCTACTCTGTCTTCCTCCGTTCTGCTTTTCAGTTGTAAGCAGGACAGAATGAGCCAGGAGTTGATAACACCAGCCCCAAGACACGCAAATCCCACAACCACTGGCACCCACACAGAACTTTGACCTTTGACCTTTGGAGAATCCATGTAGCAAAGGGTTAAACATCTTCAAGATGTCTGAGGAGAAACAAATCAGGAAAAGTTAGAATAAAACTATACTGGTATTAAAAACAGCCACTACAATATGCAGTAAATGTAAATTTAATGCTGCACAATATAAGAAAACATATTTCATTGAGAAAATGTATTTTTGACACACTCACTTGACAGTGTTGTAACAGTCTCCAGAGCTTCATCTGCTCCAGTGTTACAAAAAAAACAACAAGAATGAATATTAAAGGGAATTTTAACTTGTGCCTTATTAAAACTAAAGACACTTCATACCTCCATGATACTCCTTTATATTCTCTTATAAGCTCGAGAAGGTTCTTTGATTTGGCACCAGTTCCTGCCTGTGAACAGAGAACAGGGATGTCTCAGCACAAGTTTGAGATGGATCAAGATCTCTTGACCAGATAATACGCTTATTAGTGCTAAATGTTTAATAAATGATGATCAAACATAAGTGAACAACTTTTTACACTTTTTATAAAAATAATTACAGTGCTTCCCCTAGTGTTGTACAAGCAGGGCGCTCATACCATGACATCATCATGTCTTAAGTGAAAGTATAAAAACTACCCAGTGACACGAAAAACTATTGAAAGCAAGTTTCTGCTGAAAATGATTTTAGCAGCATAAAGTTTGCCACTTATCAACCAGATATTGTGTAATGTTATGTTTTTAAAGTTGATGTGTGCTGGATGAGCTTGGGAAAAAGCAAAATATACTGTGTATATGTACTGCACAAAGTTGAAGGACTACATTATTTTACACCAGTACTTTGAATAATGCATAGACTTGTTTACTTTGCATTATTTGTGTCATGACCCCTCCTCTGACTGCAGGGATGGTTCCTCCTCCAGGCAGAGGTGGGCCTGGAGTAATTGGAGCCACCTGGGCTCAGTGATTTAAAAGAGAGTTCTACTAATTTTTCTCTCTCCTGCTCCTCCAGGAAACCTCCTTTGTCCTTTGTTCCAGTTTTATTTTGGTTGGACATATTCACTTACCATACCATAGATACCATACCATTTTATTTATAGAGCACTTTAAACAGCGACAAGGCCAACCAAAGTGCTGTACAGACCGAACAACAGGTAACACACGAAGCAAAATACAAAATGAGGTAAATCAGAATATAGACATACAACGATGCAGATAATGACGACAAGCCAGTGTGGAGCGTACAGGTTCAAAACACAGATCATCTGGTGTTGAAAGCTACTGAATAGTAGTGAGTTTTTAAACGGGACTTGAAAACCGAGAGGGAGGGGGGCTGTCTGACAAGCAGAGGTAACTCGTTCCAGAGTCTTGGTCCTGCTACAGAGAAGGCTCTGTCACCTCTGCGCTTAAGACAAGATCCTGGAACTGTGAGGAGCAACTGGTCCGCTGACCTCAGGGAGCGTGGTGGGACATACGATTGTAGCAGATCAGAGAGATGGGGGGGGGGACTGTTCAGTGATTTGTAGGCATACATGAGTATTTTGAACTGGATTCAAAAGTGAACTGGTAACCAGTGCAGGGAGGCCAAAACTGGTGTAATGTGCTCTCTTTTGCCTGTACTGGTTAAAAATCGGGCTGCTGCATTCTGGACCAGTTGTAGTCGTGCAATGGAGGTCTGACTGACACCAAACAGGAGCAAATTGCAGTAATCAAGCCTAGATGTAATAAATGCATGTATTACTGTATCCAGGTTATTTTTGGACAATATGGGCTTCAGTTTAGACAGCCGCCTCAATTGGAAGAAACATGATTTAACAATCATGTTTACATGATTGTTGTTTCAGGGAAGGGTCCATTATCACGCCCAGATTAATGACTCTTTGTTTTTCTGACAGGGTTAGAGCGGAGAGGTCGAAGCAGTGTTCTTCAGACTTCTTTTCATTGAAACTTAAGAAGTTTAAAGCCATCCAGTCCCTGATGTCAGCCAGGCAGTTGAGCAGAGGTTGAATAGAGCATGTGCCATTGTGTCTTAGGGGGAAGTAAATTTGACAGTCATCAGCATAGAAGTGGAAGGGCATGTTGTGTTTCTGGAAAATAGCACCAAGCGGCAGCAGGTATAAAGAGAATAGGAGGGGACCCAGGATGGACCCCTGTGGAACCCCCCATTTAAGCTCTGCCGCTGCAGAACTAAAATCCTTGATGGAGACACAAAAGGATCTAGGATTTAGTTACACATCCACTCACGCTTACACTGCGCACACAAACGTATTGGCACATTTATATTTATTATCCTTGTTTGTGTTTTGTTTGTACAATAAACCATTTTAAATGGCCCATACCTTGATCTACTCTCATTCTTGTTATGGGCCATGAGCCAGGCCTGTAACAAGTGGGGGTTCGTCCGGGATTTGAACCCAGGACCTTTGCCTTATCATTTTATTTAAAGAGGTTTAAAAAGTGTGAATTTGGCCTGTTTGGAAAACTTAACTGTAGAAGGAGGCTGCTGCAAGGGAAATATCTGCATGCAGGGCAGTCCTGCTGATGAAACAATGATGGGACAAATGAGGAGAAAAGACACCCCAAATGCACAACAGTCTGATTTCATGTATAATATAGATAATTAATACAAATACCTGTATATTTCTTAAGTCCGACCAATAAGACTCTAAATGTTATTAATGTCTCATTTTGTTATTTTATAGATGACAGTAAAAAAGTGTCAGTAATCAGATTTAATTCTGTACAAACACTATCTTTTTAAGAAGTTTTGTAAACAGTTCTGCATTTTTTTTTTGTTTTTACAATGAATTGCTAACAAGACCAATATTTGCACTAAATTGTTCAGCTTTGGATTATAGAGACCTGTTGTAAAGCCCATCAGGGAGAAGCAGGTGTTGAAGCATCTTTTCTGATTTTTGACGCAGATTTCCTGTTTTCCCTCCGGACTCCTGACGCTCTCTGCTTTCAACCGCCTCTGCCATTATCAGTTATACCTGAACACTTCAGATATACCTCCCCATAAAAGGAGAGGGAACACCTGCTTGGTTCAAAGGACACAGTACTGAGTTTTTACATAAATGCGATGATAAATCACTGAGTTATACGTGGTTCTAATGTCAGATTTCATACCTATACTTATATAGAATATAGAACATTGAATCAGGAAGCGCAAACACTTTGTTGCCTGAAAGTTTATCTTTGTTGAATTACCTCCTGGATGCACAGTGTGATGGAACAAAACAGGACAGGTTGGTGGAAAGATGATCGTTGTGAGCTGAATGAACTGCCCTACAGAATATATTGGGTTGGATAAACAACACGGACAGAGTTGATCCCATTGTGTTTCACTAATAATCTGAAAACAGGGTGGAAAGGTCAATGTGAAAGTATCTAAAGTAATAGTAATACTGTGTCATCCTGAACCTTCTTGTGCTGTTTTATAGACGTTTATGTTGGGACATCCTCTTATAATTGCCTCAAGTCCCGTTGATTGATAATGCACATATTTGTCAGGACCTCGCTGTGGGTCGTGCAGCATCGGAGTGAGGAGAAGTGAGAATTATTAATGGGTAGTGTAAAGATAAGGTAAAAAAAAAAAAAAAAGAAAAGGATTTATTTTTCTACGCATTATTTGTTTTAATTGAACCTAATGCACCCAGAACTGACAAACCAAACTAAACTAAAGATAATTTAGTAAGAGTTTAGGTGTAAGTTGGTAAATCATAAAAACACATTTTCCATGTAAACCTGCTGAGTCTTTCAGTTTGATGCAAGATTAGTCTAAATATAGTTTATAAGATGATGATCAGGTGTCTTTAAATAGCGGTTTAGCATAAATAGGGCTTTGTAAACATCAAAAGTGAGACAAAACTCATATTGGGCTGGTGAAGATGTATTGTGACCAAGATTGGATTTTATTTTTTAGGTTTTCTGCATGTACAATTTTCAGGTGAATCACAGTATCTTGATGTGGTAATCTATTACTCGAGAGCAAGATTTATCACATAATCATAAGCATGGCATTTCTTATAAATATGCACAGGTAATGTGCCGCATTGAACTTAAAATAATGCAAATAAGTATTTATGTGTCAGGTAAAAAAGGGAAAGCAATATGAAAGGTTATATTACAAATCACAAAACTTTTGGGAAAAAAAAAGTAAAAACTGTACAGATGTGACAACAAAATAGTGCGATGTAACTTTTCCAGTAGAACTATTCTAAACAAAGCATTTACTAATATATAACTGCAGGTGCTGTTAAACAGTGCACATCTAAGGAAATATACTGGAATAGAAAAAATAAAACAGTAATGAAAAACAGATACTTTGACAAATGACATGCTTAATTTTAAAATGCTGATTTCCATCTTTTACTGAACTAAACAGGACTTCATAAAGTGATTTTGATTTACTGCAGTTCTTTTAATCAATCTTTTTCCTCTTAACACCAGATAAAACTGTTCATTGATGTGGCAAATCTTTCTGACCAATCAACTGTCGGCATTGCTTACGTCACATCTGTGCTGCTTCCTATTGGTTAAATCTAAGCCGACTGTATCAAGCGTACTGAGTTATCACGTGAACGTTGGCACTGGGACTTCAAACTAAAAGAACAAACGTGGAAAAAGGCTGATTATCAACAAAGATAACGTGCGTAAACTCTAAATTAAAACTATAGCATTCTGTATTCAATAATTTTACGTCTTAGAAACTCATAATATGATTATGTTAGATTTGTATAACGACCTGTTAAACGTTACGCCCGGCATTTATATTTATTTTGAAAGCCTTAAACGGAAGCTCTTGTTTGTACTTTCGCTAATTTGGTTTTTAACAACTTCCGTCCTCCCTGTGTGACTTCGACCAAAACAACAACAGAAGAAAAGCAAACAAACGTTGTTTTTGTTCTTAAGGCCAAAGTCTAAGACACGAGTGAGTACCATTTTTCGAGGAAAATATCAGTTGCTTGAAAATAAAGTTTCGTTTAAAGTTGGGAGGTAAGCTAAAGTAAGCTAAAGTAAGCTAAAACGCTTGTTTGGCCTGTGGATGCTAATTATTGTTACTTTGTTACATTCAGTACGTTTTGGGTGACTAGACTGGTTTCCATCTCGAGTAGGCTCCGTTTATGTCTAATTCTTTTTAATTAATTTATTGTCAGAAAAGTGACAAACTTGCTAAATGTGAAGAGTTCCTTAACCTGTTTGTGCAATTTAACAGGCCTCTGGATCGCCTTAGATATAATTATGGAAATTAAAAACGAAAAGACAGTGACAAATTATTTAGCAGAAATCCAGCAAATACAAGATTTTGTCAATAATTCTGTTACGTGATAAAGTTTATTTTGAGGTAAAATTAAATAAAGAAGGAAAAAATATATCCTATATTTTTCTATAATGTCAAACTAAAATGTTTTTGGCAGTTTAAATTGTATAGAGTCCAGAATAACGTTTTACTTGCTTTTATATAAACAAATATATTAAAGCAAAGTTCAAACAGTTTTGTTAATGTTAGTGACATTTATGCTTTCTGCTACTTTTGCAGATTCATAAAAGGTTCTTCACTGCTTTAAATCATTTATGACAGGATTTTAATTAGAGGAATTTTCACTATGATTTACATTTGGTTTATTACATTATCAAAAATATAGTAATATGTCCTGCATATGTACCCAAAACATATGCAGAAATGACCTCTGCAGTGCTTTTATGTATTTTACAGAGAAAGAAATCAACTAAAAAGGGCTGCCTTATTTGCTACAAGTTGAAAAAATGGGTCGCATCTTCCTGGATCACATTGGGGGGAGCCGTCTCTTCTCTTGCGCCAACTGTGACATCATTCTGACAAACCGGGCTGAGCTCATCTCGACACGTTTCACCGGAGCCACCGGCAGAGCCTTCCTCTTCAATAAGGTACTTGCACTTTCACTGAACACCAGCCAGCAATGATGACAAACAAGTTGTGCCCCTCCTCTGTAATAGATTTTTAACTTGTGCATCTGTGTAGTTTCTTTGTTCTGCAAACATTTTTCACTATTCATACTGCATACACACCTTAACATTCCTTGTGTATTGCACATGCACACCATCGTTCATGCCAGACGTCTAGCCTAAAATCATCTTGGGATGAAAAGTTACAGTTACAGCTACTACCATCCCAAATTTAACTCAAATGTTTGTAAGTTTGACCGAGTTATAACATTTATTATGTTGGCTAATGTCAATTAACTGTGGCAGCCATCTTAAATTGAATTACCTCCAGATAAATTCATCCATCCATTATCTTCTGCTTGTTCCGAAGTCGGGTCGCGGGACCAGACATATCTATCCACAGCCACCTCTTCCACCTCTTCTGGGGGAACCCCAAGGCGTTCCCAGGCCAACCGAGAGACATAGTCTCTCCAGCTTGTCCTGGGTCTTCCCAGGGGTCTCCTCCCAGTCTGAAGCACCTCACTAAGGAGGCTCACAGGGGACATCCTTACCAGATGCCCTAACCACCTCAACTGGCTCCTCTCGATGTGAAGGAGCAGCAGTTTCTACTCTTGAGTCTCTCCTGATAACTGAACTTCTCCGCAGGCTAGCTGGACCTCTCCCTTAGGGGAGAGGTCCAGCTAGCCTGCGGAGGAAACTCATTTCAACCGCCTGTATCCACAATCTCATTCTTTTGAGCTTGTGACCATAGAGGAGGGTAGGAACGTAGACAGACCGGTAAACAAAGAGCTTTGCCTTACAGCTCAGCTCCCGCTTCACCCCAACAGACCGGTACAGAATCCACAATACTGCAGACGCTGCACCAATCCGTCTGTCAGTCTCACGCTCCATTCGTTCCTCACTCATGAACAAAACTCCAAGATACTTGAACTCCATCCATCCATCCATCCATTATCTTTACCCGTTTATTCCATTTTGGGTCACGGGGGTCGCTGGTGCCCATGTCCAGCAATCACTGTGCGAGGGGCGGGGTACACCCTGGACGGGTCGCAAGTCCATCACAGGGCCACATAGAAACAAACGAGACAAACAACCATTCACTCTCTCACTCACACCTAGGGACAATTTAGAGTTACCAATCAGCCTAACATGCATGTTTTTGGTCTGTGGGAGGAAACCAGTGCACCCGGAGAAAACCCACGCATGCACGGAGAGAACATGCAAACTCCACCCAGAAAGGCCCCTGGACCGGGGTTTGAACCAAGGACCTTCTCGCTGAGAGGCAGCAGCTCTACCAGTTGCGCCACCGTGCTGCACTTGAACTCCTCCAAATGAATTAATTTTATTAAAATTTTAGAGAATTTTAATAAAATTAATTAACTGGTTTGAGAAATTTTTGCTAAATTTACAAATAACACACAAACAAAAACATTATTGCCTTTGTGCCTTCAGTGGCGGAGGGATAAATGTCACTTTATGATAATGAAACAATCCCAAAAGTCTTGTATCCAGAGTAGTCAGTCAGCACCTAATATCTGAATATTCCTGAGCACAATTTAATACACTATAAGACACAAGTTCTATCTTTGATTCAAATTTCTTAATATCTAAAACTTATTTTCATTTTGCTGAAAAACCAAACAATTAATTTGGAGAAAAGCTGTTGACTGTTACAGTAACCGGTGCACGACTGCCGTCTCTGCAGGTTGTGAACCTGCAGCACAGCGAGATCCAGGACAGAGTCATGCTGACGGGGAGACACATGGTGCGGGACGTCACCTGCAAGAACTGCAACAGCAAGCTGGGCTGGATGTACGAGTTCGCCACGGAGGAAAGCCAGCGCTACAAGGAGGGTCGAATAATCCTGGAGAGAGCGCTGGTGAGGGAGAGCGAAGGCTTCGAGCACGCTCCCTCCGACAGCTCATGAGTTGTTTTGTAGTTTCTGCCACGGCACTTGAGCCGTGCGTTCAGCAGCTTCCCCTCCAGCAGCAGCGCACGCACATAAGACAGTCATCTTGTTGTGAGTGGAAAAACACCTTAATTAAAAAACAAGCTGGATGTTTGGAGGTAATTAAAAAAAAAAAAAGGGGGTGAACGCTGTTGTCTTCCTGCCAATATAACATTTCCTGCAGTTTCATAGTGTGCCCAATAGGCGTGAGTGTTGCTCATGTGTGGGATGTCTGCTGCTCTCAGGTGAAGAAGATATTCAGAGTATTTACCAACTCAAACAGTTCAGATTATTGATGATTACAGATTTAGTTCTGTTGTATTTGCTTAAAGAATGGGGGGTGGTGTCCAAAATCCTTACATTTTAAGAGAATTTTCTGTGAGTTTTGATAGAAAATGTCGATTAAACGATTGTTGCATTACTTCTCAGAGTTATCGGCTCACAGAACATTTTCCAGAACTTTAAAAATAACTAAACAAGTAAAACCAACACAACTGTCAGTTCACGTTGGTCTGCGGTGAACCAGGTCTTGTTTTACTCTAAAGATTTATTCTGTGTTTTTTATTTTTATTTAATGCTGTAAAATGTATCACAGTAAAATATATTTAAACATATTTAGTAGAATTTTTAGCTTTACTGTTTAGAGATTTTTCTTCTAGACTTGCATTTATTGTTAATTTTTTTTTCTTCTATAAATAAAAGAGCTGAAATCATTTACATGTTTTGCGTGTTTATTCACAGATTTACATAATTTATACAACCACTCACAAATGACTAACAGATGAGGTCAGGCAGGAATCCCCGTGGACTGTGATGTTTGCAGATGACGTGATTTGTGATGAGAACGGAACAGGTGGAAGAGAACTTGGAGAGGTGGAGGTATGCACTTGAAAGAAGAATGAAAGTCAGCCGTATTAAGACAGAGTACATGTGTGAATGAGAGGGAGGCCGGTGGAACAGTGAGGCTACAAGGAGCAGAGGTCACAAAGGTGCAGGACTTCAAGGACTCCAGGAAAATGGGTAAAGAGGTGAAAAAGAGTCCAGGCAGGATGGAGTGGATGAAGAAAAGTTTCAGGAGTGATTTGCAACAAAATGGTGTCGGCTAAGAAAAAGTTTCCAGGACAGTGGTGAGACCAGCTATGATGTATTTGTCAGTTTCTTCCCGTCCTCTCAACCCCATCCGGATGGCTGCTCATCCTGAGCTTGGCTCTGCTGGTGGTTTCTTCCTGTTAAAAGGTTTTTCCTTTTCACTGTTGCCTTTGTGCTTGCTCGGGACGGGAGACGAAGAAGTGTCACCACAGTCTGCTGGCTTCCTTTAGTAATTGGCTTTTATAATGTATGTGAATGTGAATGCTGTACAGTGCCCTGAGACAACTTCTGTTGTGACTTGGCACTGTATGAACAGTATGGTTTGGAGACAGTGGCATCAAAGACAGGAGGCAGAACTGGAAGTGGTAGAATTCAATTTTTCAATTAAAAAAAAATACTTTATTAATACCAGAGAGAAATTAAATGTTGTAACTCATCATCTTTTTTCATTAATGAGTTGTTCTAGATGCTGATGGCTGTGGGCAGGAAGGATCTCTTGTTCTACAACGGATCTGAAGAAGCCTCTGACTGAAGACTCTCTGTTGTTGTATGACAGTCTGATGAAGAGGATGCTGAGGGTTGTTTATAATGTTCTTCATTTTATGAAGAATCCTTCTTTCTACAATCATCTCCAAAGAAGTCCCTAGAACTGAGCCAGCCTTCTTTATGAGCTTGTTGATCTTTTTTAAATCACTTGCTCTGGTGATGTTCCCCCAGCAGATGATGGCAGAAGAGATAACACTCTCTACAACAGACTTATGCAGCATCTTGCTGCAAACACTGAAGGACTTCAGCTTCCTCAAGAAGTACAGTCTGCTCTGTCCCTTCTTGTAGATGCTTCACTGTTGCATTTCCAGTTCAGTCTGTTGTCCAGGTGAACCCCAAGGTATTTATACTTCTCCACCACCTCCACTTCTTCTCCCATGATGGAAATAGGGTTGGACCTGTTCCTGCATCTCCTGAAATCTACAATCATCTCCTTTGTTTTGTTCACATTCAAGATGAGATGATTGTTTCCCCACCATGCCACAAAGCGGTCCACCAGTTCCCTGTACTCAGCTTCTTGTCCATCTCTGATACACCCGACCACTGCAGAGTCATCTGAATATTTCTGCAGATGACATGAAGATGGTGAGGTTCTCCTTAGGAATGACAAGGATGGAAAAGATTAGGAATGAGATCATCAGAGGTACAGCACATGTTGAACAACTGGGAGATAAAGTTAGAGAGGACAGACTGAGATGGTTTTTGGACATGTCCAGTAGACAGTGGAGTTGAAGGTGACTCACTCTGGCAACCTTTGAAAAGGAAAAATCAAAAAAAAAAAAAAAGTAAACACTCACAAATATTTATACTCATAATAATTTTTATATATTTATGACTAACTAAATAAAACACAATTCATATTTCGTTTTAACAGTTTGAATTTTCCACTTTTACCCTCGGGATATAAAGGCAGATAACCCAAACGCATATATCCGCTTGGGGCGTGGCATTCTGGGAAATGTAGGCGAAAGATGCGGCCGGAGCGTCTGCACTTTGGTGTGCGGCTGGTTGAGCAGCTTTTATCATGTTAACTCTGGATGCGGTGTATATATGGCATGTAACAAGAGCCGGATAATTCACTTCAAAGCTCCTCGTAAGGACACAAAGCAGAACCAAAATGGCTGGAGGTGAGTTATTTTTTTTACCCGTTAACACACAAGCTAGGACATCTGGCTAATGCTAGCTAGCTGTCGTGGCAGTGAGAGCAAAAGTCACGTTTTTTTAATTAAAGTAAATAAACTGTTTGACACGAATTAACTAGCTACTATCATTATTATTATTTTTTTAACTAAATTTCCCTTCAGTTAAAACACGTCCGTGTGTGAACAAAAGTTGTTTAACGACTGAAATAACGCTTTGACTTGTATTTTCCCTCCTGTTCTCCTCAGAAAACGTGAGTTTATTCTTCAAACTGTACTGCCTGAGTGTGATGACACTGGTGGCAGCTACATACACGGTGGCGTTACGATACACAAGGACCATTTCTACAGGAGACCTGTATTTCTCCACCACTGCCGTGTGCCTCACCGAGGTCATTAAATTAATCCTGAGTCTGGGGATGCTGGCCAAGTAAGTTCATCACTTTTATTTTAATTATAACAGCAGTAATAAAGAAAAACAACGATGTGGATAAATCTGTATACTCGGGTAAAGGAGCAATTAATATTCAAATTTGAGTCCCAGAAATAACTATTTTGAATGCAATAAGAATGCTACATAACTGTAGTTGTCGTAAATGTTTTTGTTTATGTCTGTACCCAAAATGTGTCAAAAATCGCTGGTTTTGTTTTCATGACCTTTTCAGAAAGTGTTCATCAAATCTACATTCACAACTGATTTACTTTGAGTAAAACCATCTCGAGATGGCTGCGTCCTATGTGTGAGCAGCAGGACGTTTTTATTTCAATTCAGTTTATTTATGTAGCGCCAAGTCACAACAGAAGTCGTCTCCGGGCACTGAACAGAAACATTCATCTACATAAATAATAATTTAACATTTATTTATCTGAGGAGCAGACTGCTTTGAGTTTAACTCCATCGCAGAACTCCAAGCGTGAAGGCGACAGTAGAAAGGAAAAACTCCCTCGTGAGGAAGAAACCTTTAGCAGAACCAGCCTCAGGAGAAGTGGTCATCTGCTTCAACCGGCTGGGTTTGGTAGGAACAGATACACAATGGCAGGTCAAGAATCATGTTAAGATAGAAATGGTATCAGGTGAAAACTATTCAATTTTAACAATTCATTTAAGGAAATGAGGCCAATTTGTCCTCCAGTAGTCTAAGCTCAAGGCAGCATAACGAGCCAACCCTAACTATAGGATTTATCAAAAAGGAAAGTCTTAAGCCCAGTCTTAAAACTGGACAATGTGTCGGCTTTACATACAGGAACTGGAAGTTGGTTCCACAAGAGAGGAGCCTGATAACTGGAAGATCTTCCTCCCATTCTGCTTTTGGAACCGCAAGTAAGCCTGCAGTCTGAGAGCGAAGTGCTCCGTTAGGAAAATATGGAACAATAACATCTCAAATATCAGATGGAGCTAGGTTGTTGAGGGTTTTGTAGATTAGAAGCAAGATTTTGAATTCTATTCTGGATTTGACAGGGAGCCAATGGAGCGAAACTAAAACTGGAGAGATATGATCTCTCCCACTAACTCCAGTTACGACTCTGGCAGCAGCATTTTGGATCAACTGAAGATGTTTTAAAGAAGCATTTGGACACCCAGATAATAAACCATTGCAAGTATGTTAGACTGGTACAGGACATGTATGAGGACAGTGGTGAGATGTGCTGTAGGAGTGACGGATAGCTTCAAGGTGGAGGTGGGATTTTATGCCAAGAAAATGCCACAGACGCTATCTTTCCTTTATAATGCTGATGGAGAAGTACAGAGAGGGTCAGAAAGAACTCTATTGTGTCTTTGTGGATTTAGAAGAAACATGACAGGGTGCTGAGGGAGGAGGTGTGGTATTGCATGAGGAAATCTGGAGTTGCAGAGAAGTACAGTATGTTAGACTGGTACAGGACATGTATGAGGACAGCAGGACGGTGGTGAGATGTGCTGTAGGAGTGACGGATAGCTTCAAGACAGAGGTGGGAGTGCATCAAGGATTGGCTCTGAGCCCCTTCTTGTTTGCTTTGGTGATGGACCGACTAACAGATGAGGTCAGGCAGGAATCGGATGACATTGTGATCTGTGGTGAGAACAGGGAACAGGTGGAAGAGAACTTGGAGAGGTGGAGGTATGCACTTAAAAGAAGAGGCATGAAAGTCAGCCGTAGTAAGACAGAGTACATGTGTGTGAATGAGAGAGACAAGTGTGGAAACTGGAGTGGGTGGAGAAAAGTTTCAGGAGCGATTTTGACAAAAGGGCGTCAGCAAAATTCAAAGGAAAATTTTACAAGACAATTATGAGTCCAGCTATGTTGTATGGTCTGGAGACCGAGACATGGGCAAAAAGACAGGAGGAAGAACTGGAAGTGGCAGAAATGAAGATGATGAGGTTCTCCTTAGGAGTGACAAGGATGGATAAGATTAGGAATGAGATCATCAGAGGTGCAGCACAGGTTGAACAACAGGGAGATAAAGTTAGAGAGGACAGACTGAGATGGTTTGGACATGTCCAGAGGAGGGACAGTGGGTATACTGGTAGCAGGATGTTAGAAATGCAGCTGCCAGGTAAAATATATATTATGGATGCAGTTAGAGAGGACATGGATGTAGTTGAAGTGAGGACAGAGTGAGATGGAGGAGGATGACTCGCTGTGGTGTCTCCTGACACCAGCAAAAAGAAGAATGTAATGTTCACTATGGAACACTCTAGTCTGATGTTTGGCAAATAATATCCTCCAGACAAACTGCACTGCATATTTTAGATGTTTATTTTTTTCCATCACACCCAGTTCTAACTCATGAATCATGGGCTTTTACAAAACTTGATAACGTGTTTGAGGTATTTCATTCACTGGAATCCGAGGAGCAGGAAGGGAAACTTAAAACAACTCAGCATGTCCCATAAATGGAAGCCATTAAAACATTTCTTTATAAATGGAAACGAACTCGAACGTTGCTGATGAAATGTAAAAACTTCTCCATTTGTCTGGTTCGGTTTAGGAGTGTTACTTTAATTTCAAGTTTTCACTAAGAATTAGAATAAGAATTGCAATATACAAAAGTTGTGAAAATAAATTTAGCAAAAGTTTAAGAATTAAAATTTTATTTTATCATGTCGGCACCTTTAGCCTTCACGATTGTTTCAAAGCATAAAAGCCCGAAGGCAGCCAAACTAGTTCAGTCTGTTTCTTTATCACACAATAGAAGCTTAGAATGGTTTGACGTCGTTCCCTAAATACAGTCTGCAAACAAGATTTATGAGCTGCCATTCATTAAAGTGTCATACATGGACTTCCTGTACTTTGAACTGCGATATCACAAGATCTTTATTTGGTTTCGATTTCTTTAGAGAATCAGGCAGCTTCATCAGACTGAAGAGCACCATCGTGGAAAACATCTTCAGCCCCACAGAGCTGCTGAAACTGAGCGTGCCCTCGGTGGTGTATGCGATTCAGAACAACATGGCCTTTGTTGCACTGAGCAACCTTGATGCAGCTGTGTATCAGGTACGACTGAAACTTTTATTTTTTGTGTGTTCAGAACAAATGGTCCAATGCATCCCATTTTATTTACAGGACCTTGAATAAACCAAACCCTCCACCCTCTAAGGACAGCATTTCAAAAGTCATAATTTTTAGTCTTAGATTTGCAAAACAGTCGTTAAAACAAGATGATCGTTACCAGGGTACTTCTGATAGACAGGCCTCACATCAACACTCAAAGCTCTGCTAAGTGTCTTCAAACATGAGGAAAAACCAGTTGAATCACTTCAGTTGGACTAAGATCAGCTTTAGATATATTTTAGGTTAGTTTTGCATTTATGTAAATTGGGACTAGGATTAAAAAGCACACTGAAATTAGCCATTCAAGAAATCCTTCTTAGGCAGCACGGTGGCGCAGTTGGTAGAGCGGCCTCCTCTGCAAGAAGGTCGCCAGTTCAAATCCTGGCCCCGAGACCTTTCTGGGTGGAGTTTGCATGTTCTCTCCGTGCATGTGTGGGTTTTCTCTGGGTACTCCGGTTTCCTCCCACAGACTAAAAACATGCCAGTTAGGCTGATTGGTAACCCAGGCCACCCTTGCAAGAGATCTGTTCTCTCAATGGGATTTACCTGGTTAAATAAAGGTTAATAAATCAATTGTCTCTAGGTGTGAGTGGGAGAGTGAATGGTTGTCTCGTTTGTCTCTATGTGTCCCTGTGATGGACTGGAGACCTGTCCAGGGTGTCCCCCGCCTCTCGCACAGTGACTGCTGGACATGGGCACCCGTGACCTGAAAAGGAAGGAGCGGGTAAAATATGATGGATGGGTGGAAATCCTTCTTAATCAAATAAGTGTTTTTTTTTCTGGGAGCAAACTGGAAATTGTAAAATTTTTCTTACATTGAATTACTCCCATACTTCCTCCAGTGTGCGGCGTTGCCAGGATCACTACTATAACGGACGAAAAAAGGTTTAAAAGTTCTTAAACTCGTCTTGTTTTGCTGTACAGGTGACTTATCAGCTGAAGATCCCGTGCACGGCTCTGTGCATGGTCCTCATGCTGAACCGCACTCTCAACCGCTTGCAGTGGTTCTCCGTTTTCATGCTCTGCTGTGGCGTCATCCTCGTCCAGTGGACGCCTGCAGAGGCCACTAAAGTTCAGGTACAGTAGAGATCCCTTATGTTCGTGTTCATTCACTGTATGATAACGGGTCACGCGGTTCAGTAAGACATACAGAACATCGGTGGACATGGACCATAATGCAGTGTGGCACGAGCCAACACAGCAGGCTGATCAAGGCTAACATCTGCAGCTCGTTTTGATTATTATTTTTTTAATCTAGACATTTTTAACATGAAGTGGTTCGTCTTATTCGTCGAGCTGTGGGGCTGAGAAAACATGAGCTGATCTTGTTTATAAAACATTTTGAGTCTAAATATGAAATGCTGTCCACAATGTAACAATCGTCACGTGTCTTCCTTTTGTTCCTTACTCCAGCTTTAAAATCAGTTCTGAACAGAAATATTTTGTAGGTGATATTAATAATTTTTGTACATTGAAGGTTCTTGTATAGGTACAGTTGCAGCTCGTTGTCTAAAAAGAAGCATTATGAAAAAAAGTGGCACAAATTTGTGTAAATACGTTTTTATTTCAGCCAAAACCAGTGAAATTATGTTGTCCATCATCCCACATTTAGGTGTTTTTCCAGCATATCTTGTTTTTTACGTCCGACTGTGGTTACTTTGCTCATAATTATGACATGCTGCGTTCAAGTAGGGTTCGAAATGTAAAACACCGTACAGTCTCCATGCCTTTATATATAGGCTTGATATAATGAGTGAATTTCAAATGCAGCCTGTTTTACCTGCTCATCTGGTTTTATCGTTTTTTTTAATCCACAGATTGAGCAGAATCCCATTGTTGGGTTTGTTGCCGTTGCTGTTGCCGTCCTCTGCTCTGGATTTGCAGGTAAAGAATTCATTGAGGAAATGGAGGTTGTTCTTAACTGGTTTGTTGCGCAACTTTCCGCAGTAATTTGGATAAACTTCATGTAAATGTACACTTGACGTGATTACTAATGTAGAATTTGCACCCCCCTGATTAAGTTGTTTAAAACAGTTTTGTGTATTTTTAGGTGTGTACTTTGAGAAAGTACTGAAGAGCTCCGATACATCTCTGTGGGTGAGAAACATCCAGATGTACCTGTCTGGCATCGTGATCACCCTGGCTGGTGTTTACATGAACGATGGAGAAAAAGTCCTGGAGAAAGGCTTTTTCTTTGGTTACACACCGTGGGTGTGCTTCGTAGTATGTAAGTACAAACACCTGGAGTATGTTTAGTTTTCCTGGTGTTTGGTGTGACACAGTCCTCTTTGTGCTTCCAGTCCTGGCCAGCGTTGGAGGTCTTTACACGTCAGTGGTGGTGAAGTACACAGATAATATCATGAAGGGCTTCTCTGCTGCTTTGGCTATTGTTCTGTCAACAGTAGCATCCGTCATGTTGTTTGGACTGCAGATAAGTAAGTTAGTTTCTTACAAACACATTATTAGTTTGTTTATCCAAGAGGGGGTGTTACGTTCCTTTTAACAATTATATGGGTACTCACCAGCTCTGCAGACCAGCAGCTCGTTTCCAGTCGGGCTCTGTTCTGGTTCTGCAGACCTACCCTGCAGGGACGAAGCCCACCAGGTCCAGCTTGATGTGCATGTGGATAATTGAGCTTCTGTGAGCTTAATAGATAGATCTTTACTTCTGACTTTACGATGCAAAATTTTCCCTCTATTTCGGCAGAAGGCAGCGGCTGGAAGCACTGTTGGCTTCTGGGTAGTGTAGTTCATACAATTGCCTTACAGTGTAGGCTATTGAAAGAAAACTACAAAATGGCAGCATCTGTCCAAAGTTTTATTTTTTTTAACTTTTTATCCCGTACTGTCCCAATCACGTAATATTAAAGTTGACGATCACGTGTCTTGTACGATCTTAACGTTGAACCAAGAAGTAGCGAGGGACTACTGTAATGCAGTTAATGATTGTTAATGAATGTGAACAGGTACACGTCAGTTTAACAGACTTTCAAGGACTCTGACATAAAAAATCCCAGAATGATTTAAAACTGGTCATTTGGAGTGGCTGGAGTCAACTTGTAGCAAGCAGTACAAATTAAAGTATTTAAGCAACGTCTTCGATAAAAAAAAAATACAATTTGAAAGTTTTCCGTTCATTGATGCTACATAATTTTAAAACTGGTCAACAGCTCAGCTATTGAAACCTGAAAGAATTAAACGGTTCTCCTCTAAAAAGGCTTTGTAACCACATGTATAGAGTGAAATTGTTTATGAACTAAACAGTTACAATTATTTCTTTTTTTCCTCTCTCTCTCCACAGCAATCACATTTGCCTCCGGAGCTCTGCTTGTGTGCATTTCCATTTATCTATACGGACTTCCAAAGCAAGACACGTCCAAACTGAGTTGGCAAGACAAGAACACGGACACAGAATCCAAACAAAAACTGATCAACGTGTGAGTCACAAACTCGCAGCAAAAAAAAAAAAAACCAGAGTCTCGAGCGGCAGGACCAGGTCTCTTCTGAGTCTCCTGCAGGACTTGATGGCAGACACTAGCTGGCTCAGCTGGGTTTGGTTCACGACAAAGACCAGTTTTGGTTTGTTACAATAGATCTGCTCCTCCCTCCACCCACATGATTGACAGCGCTGTGGATTAACCGAACAATCTCTCAAGATTATAGTTTTAGTCAATGAAAAGTGGCCACTTACTTGTATGATTTTTAAAATTTGTAAATAATCTAAGGCAAACGGTCAAGTCCGGTAAATCATCTTTAGTGTTTAGGACTCCGTCCACTGTATTTGGTTTAAATGGTGTCTAAAACAACTTCTCATTACTGGATACTTTCTTCCAGTTGCTAATCTATTCTGAATTGTGCAATGTGACCAAGTCAGTGTAAACAAACAATGCATGTTTGATTATTTTTATTAACGCATTTCGGTGTCTTTTTTTTTTTTTATCTCTTGTTGCATTGTTTTAATGTTGTTTTTAACCTTCCTGCTCCCCTTGGGTTGAAATGACCCCTGAGGCATGAGTCTTAAAACCGAGGCGTTAGGGATCATTTCACCCATGGGCAGCAAGGGTTGAATCAAAAACGAGCCTGATGACGAGATTTTATTTTTTTAAATAAATCTTAAGAGTAATTTATTTTGAAAACGTGAGGCTTTGTATTTACAGGACAGTAGATAAAACAGTGGAAAAACAAACAAAATTAGTACAAGTTTACATTTTAGAAACTGGTGTGATGCCCAGAATCCTCATCCCGTTGTCCAGGACTGAGCGCGCTCCACTGAACAGTCGTAACCTGGCCTGTTGACGAGCCATGAATCAGAACATGTGTATAATCATTGCTGTTTAAAGCGTTTTAAACATAAATGTCCAAGACTTGAGGTTTCTGTACCTGTGCAACATCCTGCGGGCTTCCTTTCACTGGCAGCTCTCTGTGTGCTGAAGCGACGAGATGGCTGGAAAACAAAAAGGTTGTTAGCTTGACAAACATGAACTTCTGTCTTGGGCGGAGTAAAACCAACCGCTCTAGACTAACATCCTGTTTCTTACCACAGCTTCAGTAAAAAGTTGACGAGATGTTTGGGCTGCAGATCGTTGGCCGACTGATACAACACCTCGTCGTAACTACAAAAACAAACAGGGACGACATCGTAAAGACAAAACAAATATTGATTTTACCCTGGCAGATTGAGGAAGAGGCTGATAACAGGTTTACCGGAGAAGGTGCTGCAGGATGACGATGCTCGTCTGTTCCCGTAAAACAAAAGGGTTGAACGTTGGCGCCTCCGCTCCTTCATTCTTCTGCATTAAACTGCCACATAATAATAATTGTGTTATGCTTTCCGTTAATCTTAGTCCTTTTATATTCAAGGGATTAACAGAATTTTACACGTGCCGTTAAGTTTAATAACTGTGTATAACGACTGAATTAATTAAACTGCATAAATGTTGATGCGTCTTTACAGCAGCCGGCGCTGACCTGCAGAGTCGAGCGTGTGTGTATTGTAGGAAGACGCCCGTGTCACCCTGAGCCTGCAGCATCCGGTCCCAGTCGAATTTATAATCTGACTGCAGGGGACCTTTAAAGTCCTGAAACAAAAACATACAAAGCACAGACGTTATCCATCACCAGGTGGGAAAAAAAAACTACAGCTTTGTTGAAATTTGTCACTTAAAAGGCAAAGCGGACAATGTTTTGTGTGGAGTGGATCCAATTCAAGATGGCTACCACCGCTAATTGATTTCACCTAACACGAAAAAGACGACTATAGAAATTGAGCTCAAATTTGATGCAAGACGACTTGATGAATCTGGAGCTTAGACCAAACATCTCCAACTGCCATGAAGACGGCAGGATATGACGCTACGCCTTTAATTTGAAAAATCACCTGAACTATCAGTGCGCCGATTCCCACTTTCTCAGCCGTGTCCTCTGGGTTCTCCAGTTCCTTCGTGTCTAGAGAAAAATGAGCGTCGGTGTTATTTCTGCCTCCGAACACAAACTCGTTAAGGATTTCTTCGTGTGACGGTGCACAACTTCCATTAGAAAGACGAGACGTTGGCGACATTTAGATTCCCACATTGTGTTCATTGCTATGGTGCGCACAACAGTTCAGATGAAGCATGCCGCCTGACTAAATAATTGAGCGTTTATATGATTATGACATGCACATTGACAGAAGTACTTGTTTTTGCAACGAGTTTAAAGGAAATCATCCTGAATGTTTGCCAACATGAACCAGAACCACAGTTTAATTAATTTAAGCTGTGAGCAATTCCTTAAGAACATCATTGCGTTACAAAGTGGAATTCCTCCCTGTATTTAGAAAATTCTTCTGCGTAGACTGTTCCAAGACAATCGGGGCGTGGAAAGAAAGATCTGGAACACAATTCATCTCAATAATTAAGGCTGCCAATGTATTGCACCCTTTTTTACTAACGCTTGACGTTTATTTTGTTGTGCAGCTTTGAAATAATAAATTGTTCACAAATCCTTTGGCCTGATTTGGAAAAGCGTGAGACGGTTGTTGGTAGTGGTACATCGCTCAACGTGGAGCAATTTTACAAAACACTTTAAAAAAGCACTCGGGTTTTAAAGACAAAACCCCAGCCCTTTTTCAAGCTCAGACGTCTTAGAAACATCATTCAGTCTAAACAGGCAAGTCGGACTTTATACGTCAGAACTTTCATTTTGAGATCAGACTTTTTCAGAGAGTATTCATCTGAGAGTCACGCACCGACTTTTGATCTGTTTAAAATGTTTTAATCTTTCGCAAACAAACTTTTTAACTCGCAACTCCTTTTGGTACATTACAAATTATACATCAAAATTATTTGACTCGGTCTGTTTCTCACTGTGTTTCTCAAAAGTCCTCGCGAGTGCACAGCCAAGCTTCTACAAGTAGTTGTATTTTAGCTCAAAATATTCTGTTCAAAACTAAACGTGAAGTCTTTTTTTAACCTAAATAAAACACTAATAACATAAAACTCGCATGTGACTCATCAGTCTTCTGACGCTCACTGTGCGTGGATTTTTAAGATCCGTTTTGCAGCATTTGCACAGCGACGGTTTGAGCCTTATTTTCAATTTGCCTGCTGATAACTTGGCACTCAGGGAGTGACACACAGCTGTGCAGTTACCACGGTGACCACAATGAGCCATTGGCAGCAGCTTTAACGTTTTTTATCTTGGTTCTCTTTACAATACTTATTCAGTTCAAGCATCAAAATGTTGACATTTCTCTTAAATTATTACTAATCTTATTATTGTGTTGATGTTTATGAAGCGTTCACACTATTGTGATCCATTTTTCTTCTGTGCGTTTTTCAGCGCGATTCTCGTCCCACTGTTTTGAAGCTATTTCAACAAATATAAATCAAAACATTCAGCTCTTTCAGGACAATTCTGCTATGACTTTTGGTACTGGTGCAACTTTAGCTTTTTGAAATATATTTAGCCTTTTCTGCCATTGTTTTTTTTTTCTCATTGAAAATGAATTGAGCTCATTTTACCTCCTTCAAATCTTTAGATCTGTTTTGTTCTGGTTCAGCTTCTTTCAGCTTCCTTGTGCAAATTTTTACATTTTTTCAGCTACATGTAAGTTCAGCCATTTTTCAGCTGTTTTGTGCTCCTTTCAGATTCATTCGGCTAACTAGAACATTCTTGTGCTTCTTCTAACTCCTTTCTGCTCATTTCAACTTGTTCTGCTCATTTCAGCTTATTTATGCAAGTTTCAGCTACTACGTATATAACTGTTTTATGATAATTTAAGCTTTTTCAGCTAATCCCACATTTTTTGCAGTCGTTTCAACTTTTTTCAGCCTAATTCAGCAAAAATGTGCTCTCTCCACTTCCTTCTGGTAATTTAAACTTCTTTCTGCATTTTTAACTATTTTTCAGCTGGTTTTTGCAAATTTAAGCTTTTTTCAGATCATTTCCACTTTTTTGTGCCAATTTCAGCTTCTTTCAGCAAATGCATTTTTCTGCTTTCTGCTAATTTAAGTTTGTTATACTTTTTCAGCTACTTTTTTAAGCTAATTTCAGCCGTTTTCAGCTAAATTCAAATTATTATTTTTTTTTTGTGGTAATTTCGGCTACTTTCAGCCTAATTAAAACTCAGCACTGGAATACGTGTAAATAAAAAACTGACATCATGAGAACTCGACTGCTAACGAACTGTTAAAGAGTGCCAGGCTTTACTGTTAGACTGGGTCATGTTGTGGAGCATCCTGGCCCGAGCTTCATCCAGCACGTCCTCCAGAAACACCACGTCACCGGTCCGGGTCTTCATGCCCTGCACCAGACCGAAGGGAACATGCCGACAACTGCAGACAAGTAATTATATTTTAAGATCAATAAATACATGCATGCATTAAATAAATTAATCATTCTCAGTTAACATGATCAGAGGCTAGATTAAAGTGAAAATCTTGTGAATCCCTTTGGGCCTTCTTTGTAATTTATTATTTTTTAATTAAAAACATAAAACAACTAGATAATCATCCCCTAAAGAGTGATGATATATATTATACACCTGTTGAACCTATGGGGTCTGGGTTGGTTAAATAAGCCTGAATGGTTCTGTTACCTTTGAGCCCAGGAATGCCCCAAAGCCTGGAGGATCTGGAACAACTGGTTGAAGTGATTTTCTTGGCTTTTGTCTGTCTGAAGAAAAAAAGAAAACAAGAGTTCATCTTGAGCATGCATCAGGATAAGAGTTCATCTAGTGCTCTTGGAAAACAGCTGGAGCTATGACAACAACATCAGGTTTTGAAGGGTCATGAGTAAATGCAGTTTTTATTGTTATTTTATCCACAAAATGGCAGAAAACTGGAGACATTTGCATTTTAGCAGTAAACACAGTGCCAGTTTTATTTATAAAGTGCTTTTTATATTTCCCTGAAGGAATATTTTCAAGGGATCAATAAATTTATATCTAATCTAAAAAAAAAAAAACCCACTTTGTGCTGTACATGTATAAACAAGAACATTTTAAACTAAAAACAGTTGTAAAAATAAACCAGAGTCTCAGGATGGGCCAAAACCCAGGGAATAAAAATGTTTTTAAGGGTTTTAAAAATGGACAGTGAAGGGGCTCGTCTGATGAGAAGAGGGAGAACATCCCATGATCTTGGAGCAGCTAAAGAAAAAGCTCTGTCCCCTCTGAGCTTCTCTTTGGACCTCGACACCCCAGGAGCAGCTGATCAGCTGATCTGAGGCACCGAGCAGGAGAGTCTTAAAACGACCAGGCCAGTGGAGTGAAGCCAGAGTGGGGGTGATGTGCCTCCCTCTTATGAACTCCAGTTAGAAGTCGAGCAGCAGCATTTTGGACCAACTGGAAACGTCTGAAGGAGGACCGGCTGACTCTGAGGTAAAGAGCGTTGCAGTAATCCAGCCGAGAGGTGGCGAAGGTGATCACTGTTTCAAACTGCTGTTGTGTGAGGATCCGCTTTGCCATGGGAAATAAATCGGACCATCATCAGAACAGCAGTGGAAAAAGATCACATGGTTCCTGAGGATTGAGCCCAAATGAAGCTGGTAAGAAAAAGAAAAGCAAGGGACCTAAGATACAGCCTTGTAGAACTCCAAAAGATATGAGCAGTGGAAGAACCAGCTATGTTGATACATATGAATCTGTCTGCCAGATATGACGTAAACCAGCTCAGTGACCCACTTGGTGCTGTAAATGTGAAACTGGTCCACTGCACCAAAGGAGCCAGAACCACGTTCATCAGAATCGTTAGCCATAAGAACGTCGTTACAACTCGGACTAGAGCTGCTCCTGTGCTGTGCAGCATTTTGTTTCCAGAATGAAAAACCTCCAGGACATTGTGTTCATACAGAAAATAATTTTTAAAAAGCTGAATTTTGCCAAAGAAGCTGAAACTGGATTGTTAAACAAGCAGAAGCTAAAATGAGCAAAACAAGCTAAAAGGAGCATATGAAGACAAAAATAGAGCAAGTTGCTTTTTAGAGAACAATGTTGTGAATGAGTTGGGGGGGGGGGGGGAAATCAATGTTTTTCTTTGAGATTATTTATTTTATTGTGAATAAACCTAAATAATAAAAAAATAAAAGTTACAAATACTAAAAGTTTAAATGTTTTTTTTATATATATATAGATGGTTAAAATAGCACAAATGAGTAATTACATTGCAAAGAAATGCACAAAATGTAGAAGAATGATGCTGTTACACCAAAAAATGTTTAATCCCTTTAGACAAAGATGAACAAGATCGTCTAAACACTCATAATAATAAATCAGCTATACGAACGTTTGTGTAATAAAACTTTTCTTACCACATAAATCATTTCATCAAAACAGTGCTTTTCCTTCCGGTCAATAGCTGCAGCGATGTCTCTGTGACAAAGAAATTGTAACACACGGCCACAGTTGGATCAAATGCTGCAGATATTCTCACAGTCAGAGCTAAAACTTTCAGCTGCTTCAAAAAGTATTAAAAAGTGTAAATATTAAATATTGTTTGCACCGACCTGGTGATGTAGAGAGTTGTGCCGTCACTGCGGAGGATCGTACAAATGTTGGTCATGTCTGCCTTGGGCGAGAGATCAACTACACCCGTACCCTTCCTGTCAACATAAACAAGAAAAAAGGCAAATGTATGTTAGAGGTTGGTCTATTCAAATTAAATACAGTTCACTTCTCATATGAAATCATTGGTCTGTGAATCTGATGAGTGTTGTTCATCTGTGAAGTATTAAAATAAACGTCCGTTTTAAAATTAGTCTCCAACCTTCTTGTCCTAAAAAAAAGTTCTCTTTTGGATCAGAAAAACCCAAGATTACAACAGCCAAATATCAAATCTGATGCTTGAAGACGTCTGGCCGTAACTCCACAAATCAACGATCAAACAGAGGAAATCTGCGGCTCGATTTTTTTCATCGGCTTCAGTTCAATGTGGCTGATGGCTAACGGCCTTTAGATATGCCGAGTTGCGTCTGCTAAAATCTACAAACTAAACGTTCTCCATTTTGAAACCTAACTCTGTGACTTACTCAGAGGTTTTCAACAGGCCTCGGCTCCGCAGCTCCTGCAGAACCTCCTGGGCTTGGTCTTGGTGGAACGACTCCCCACTGTAAACGTCGAAGTGGACTCCCAACCGCTGGAAGGATGGGAGAAGATTCTCCGTCAGACTTCAGAGCACGGAGCTGCTGGAGCTGCACGTGTTTCAGAAGGTTTGAAAGCAAGAGCTCACCTTGTAAACCTGCTGGTACTCCTTCACCGTGATCTCTCTGAACTGTTGCCATAACGACAGAGCCTGGCTCTCATGTCCCTCCAGCTGTCGGAAGAAGTCCCTGGCAGCCTGCTTTATGTCCGTGTTGAGCTCTGCTTCTTTGTTCACCTTAACATAAACCTGCAACTCAGAACCACCAGAACCATCAGACGACTACAGCGTTGAGCTAGCACTGAGCTATCTAGACAACACTTCCCATTAAACACGGTGCAAATGCCGGGAGCTGAATTAAGTTAATGAATATTGAAGATGCTAAAACTGAGTCAAATCTGAAAGAAGCAGACAACTAGTTAAAGCTAAAAGGAGCAAAACACTAGCATAAAGCTAAAGTAGCAAAAGGATAGCTAAAAGCAGAAAGTAGCAAAATGGTAGCGTCAAAACAAAAGGCTAGCTAAAGGTTTAATTCAACAAAAGGTTAGCTGAAAGCTAATAATTGCTAAAAGTTAGTTAAAAGTAGAAAAATGTTAGCAAATGCTAAAATATTTGCAATAACTAAAAGTAGCTAAATGGCAAATAAAAGGCTAAAAGCAATGAAAGGTTGGGTTAAAAAAAAGTTAGCTAAATTATTGCTATAAGCGAAAAATAGAAAAAGGTTAGCTAAAAAAAGTTTAACACAAGTAGAGAAGCTAAAAGTAGCATAATGGTAAAGAAAAGGCTACAAGCAACTAAAGGTTGGGTAAAAAACCGTAGCTAAATTGTTGATAAAGACAATAAGTACAGTTAGCTAAAAACTTTGTTTAACAAAAGCATAGCTAAAAGTAGCAAAAACACCAACGTAAAAAAACATAGCTAAAAGCTTATTATTGAAAAAAGTTAGCTAAATATAGATAAATTCTTGCAAAAAGCGAATGTATCAAAAGGCTAGCTAAAAGTAGCAAAATGGTTGCTAGAGCCTAAAAGTAGCAAAAGGCTAGCTAAAGGTTAATTTAAAAAAGCATAGCTAAGAGTAGCAAAATGGTAGCTGGAAGCTAAAAGTGGCAAAACAGTAACCAAAGAAAATAAAGGTTAGCTAAAAGTCGCAAAAGGGTAGCTAAACGTAGCGGAACAGTAGCTAAAATCTAAAAGTAGCATAAGAAAAAAATAAGCAAGTTTGTTAAATCAGATTTTCAAACATAATATTTTTTTAAGGAATTTAGGAGATCTTTGTGTATTTGTATGGGGAAAATTAATTGTAAAATGTTTAGAAGTTACAGAAGTCTCAGCACCGATCTCCTAAATGAGCAAAACGTTTCAGCATTTACCATAGTAATTAGACTGTGAACAATTTGTAGAAGAAAACAAAAGCAGGAAAACGAGCGTGAATGCTGAATCAACATTTAATGAAATATGCACTCATTCAGTTAAATAAAATTAAAAACTTTACTAAATAAACACACCCCAATAAGAGAAAATAAATACATTCTCACCTCAAACAGATGCTGTAAGGGATTCTCTTTCAATTTTTCCATACATCCAAACTGATTAAACCCAGCTCCTAACAAACCTGAAATTCCACACAAGTTACTGAGTTAGTCCATTTTAATGAAATGAAGAGTCCTAACGAGCGTCTCTTTAACAAATCCTGCACAACGTGCTCACCAAACTGCATGCCCCAGTCTCCCAGGTAGTTCATTCGAATAACGTTATTTCCAAGGGATTGTTTGAGGTTCGAAATGAAGTTACCTGGAGATGGAATTTAGACGTTTTTAGACAACACTCATGACAAAATTTCTAATAAAGTAAAAATGTATTAAAGTAGAAACCTGCCAATAATTGTGGAGCGCAAGTGCCCAGCGTGGAATTTTTTTGCGATATTCGGAGAGCTGCAAACATGAACATTAATTATTTGAAGGGGAGATGTACTTTGAACAAAAAGGACCAAAAAAAAAAAAAACTATAACCCCACCTGTACTCTACTAATGTCGTTCCTCTCTTCAGAGAATTAAAAAGTTCACTGTTTAACTCAAACTGGTCGTCTTTTCCTTTTCCAAATGGCTCCAACAATTTCTGGAACAAGTGAAGCAGAACTAAAAACGAGCACAGCAACAGCAAATTGCACTTTTCTTGTCAATATTGGATGGATGTGCACACACAAACCTCAGCAAGAAGGCTGCGATTAACTGTGAAGTTAATGACGCCATGTCCGGTGGAAATACTTTCCACCACGCTGTCCGGCTTTAACTGAAAAACACAAATTTGGGTAAATATCAAAGACAGTGTCCTCTCTGTGATTTCTGAATCAGCCAAACTAAACTAAATATACCAAATAGTCAGGATATGTTAACAATTAAATAAGTATTCACTTTGATATTTTTCATTTAAAAGTTTTAAATTAAGCTAAAAGACACAATTCCCTACTTATTTGGTTTGAAAATCTGCAATGTATTGTGGTTTGTCATTTATTTTAAAGGAGATTTTAACTGTCAAAACAAAACATAAGTTAATTTAACTAATTGAAGACGAGTTGGATTTGTTTATGGTCAGATAATAATCCATAAAAACTTTAATTCAATTCTATTCAAAAATACTTTATTAATCCCAGAGGGAAATTAAATGTTGTGGTAACTCATCATCCTGGTTTCATTGAAGAATTGTTCTAGATGCTGATGGCTGGGGGCAGGAAGGATCTCTTGTAGCGGTCTGTCTTACAGCAGATCTGAAGAAGCCTCTGACTGAAGACTCTCTGGTGTTGTATGACAGTCTGATGAAGAGGATGCTGAGGGTTGTCTATAATGTTCTTCATTTTATGAAGAATCCTTCTTTGAACAATCATCTCCAAAGGTTCTAGAGGAGTCCCCAGAACTGAGCCAGCCTTCTTTATGAGCTTGTTGATCTTTTTTAAGTCACTTGCTCTGGTGCTCCCCCAGCAGATGATGGCAGAAGAGATAACACTCTCTACAACAGACTTATAGAAGATATGCAGCATCTTGCTGCAAACATTGAAGGACTTCAGCTTCCTCAAGAAGTACAGTCTGCTCTGTTCCTTCTTGTAGATGCTTCACTGTTGCATTTCCAGTCCAGTCTGTTGTCCAGGTGAACCCCAAGGTATTTATACTTCTCCACCACCTCCACTTCTTCTCCCATGATGGAAATAGGGTTGGACCTGTTCCTGCATCTCCTGAAATCTACAATCATCTCCTATGTTTTGTTCACATTCAAGATGAGATGATTGTTTCCACACCATTCAATTCAATTCAAAAATACTTTATTAATCCCAAAGGGAAATTATTTGTTGTTGTAACTCATTATCCTCATTTCATTAAGAGATGTTATAGATGCTGATGGCTGTAGGCAGGAAGGATCTCTTGTAAAGGTCCATCCCACAGTGGATCCTAAGAAACTGGCTGCAGATGCCGTCTGATCCGTCCACCCAGACTCGGCTGGCCTCTCGGTTCCCCCGGGCTGTAGGACCGCCCGAATTTTGGGCAGAACTCCTCCCAGAGCGATGGCCACTCCTCCCAGCAGTCTGCCGAGCTCCTTGTCACTGCAGACAGCCAACTGTAGGTGCCGGTGAACGATCCTGTCCTTCCACTGTCGTGAGCCATGTTTCCTGCTAGTTCCAGGATCTCAGTGGTCAGGCACTCAAGCACAGCTGGCAGGTAGATGAGAATGCGTCCACAGAATATCCTTTTCAATTCATTTGAGATTTGGGGCTGTAGTTGAGATATTATTTGAGCTTTTGAGATGTTAATCAGCTGCTGTTGGTTGTAGAAAACTGCCTTGTTGCCATAGTTACACATCATAACAAATGTCCAAAACTAAAAAAGTTTCAGTAAAAATCCTTCCAGCTGCACAGCATCTGATACCAGAGGAAACAATCAGCCAAAAAATGTGACTTACATCCAGAAAAAGAGGAATTAAAGTTTCCAAAAGCAAAATCTCAGAATGAAAGTAACAGAGCTGCTCCAACATGCAGCCACCTGGAGCGGCGCAATTCTAGAACTCTAGAATTCTAGAATGCCACAAAGCGGTCCACCAGTTCCCTGTACTCAGCTTCTTGTCCATGTCTGATACACCCGACCACTGCAGAGTCATCTGAATATTTCTGCAGATGACAGGAGTCTGTTTTGTACTGGAAATCTGAGGTGTACAGAGTGAAAAGGAATGTTGAGAGTACAGTCCCCTGTGGTGCTCCTGAGCTACTGACCACTTGATTAGACACACAACCCTTCAGTTTCACAAACTGTGGTCTGTTGGTCAGGTAGTCTTTGATCCAGGTGATTGTTGAGGCCTCCACCTGAGTCTTCTGGAGTTTCTGACGGAGCAAATCAGGCTGGATTGTGTTAAATGTACTGGAGAAATCAAAGAACATGACTCTCACAGTGCTGTCTGCCTTTTCTAGATGACAGTGAGTTTGCTGAAGCAGGTGTATGATGGCATCTTCAACTCCAAGTCCACGCCGATAAGCAAACTGCAGTGGGTCCTGATATGTGCTTGTTTGTCTAGTCAGGTGGGTCAGCAGAAGTCCCTCTAGGACCTTCATGATGTGGGATGTCAGGGCAACAGGTCTACAGTCATTGAGGACTGATGGGTGAGTTTTCTTTGGCACTGGAACAAGGCATGAGGTTTTCGACAACACTGGAACCTTCTCCTGGGTCAGGCTAAGGTTGAAGACATCCTGCAGAACCCTACAGAGCTGCTCTGCACAGACCTTCAGGACTCTGGGACTGACACCATCTGGACCTGCAGCCTTATTCCGGTTTCATCCCTGACCACACCTCTCTGATATTGTTCTGTTGGAACTTGCTCTCCAGCTTCTTCTTGTACACCTCCTTGCTGTTTCTTATCTTGACTTTTAGTCGCTTCTGTGTGCTCTTCAATAATTCCCTGTCTCCCTCCCTGAAGGCTCTTTTTTTCTGGTTTAGCAGTTCCTTCAGGTCAGTGGTGATCCAGGGTTTGTTGTTGGGTAAGCATCTCACTGTTCTGGTGGGGATGGTGTTGTTTACACAGAAGTTTATATAGTCGGTCACACACGCAGTCATGGCATTGATGTCCTCTCCATGTGGCTGGCACAGTGCATCCCAGTCTGTAGCCTCAAAACAACCCCGCAGGGCTTCTTAAGCTTCCGTTGACCATTTTCTCACTGTTCTCTTTATTGCAGATTGCCTCTGAACAAGGGGTTTATATTTTGAGCAGAGAAACACAAGATTGTGATCTGATTTGCCAAGAGGGGGTCTTGCTTTAGCGATGTATGAATCCCTGACATTTGCATAAAACAAGTCCAGCGTTTTGTTTTCTCTGGTAGAGCAGCTGACAAACTGTTGGAATGTCGAAAGAGTAGCAGAGCGAGAGGCATGATTAAAATCCCCAGATATTGCAACAAACGCACTAGGGTGTTGTGTCTGTAGCTTAGCAACCTCAGAGCTGATGACATCACACGCAGTCTCTGCAACAGCATTGGGTTGAATGTAAACAGTTGCCAAAATAACACTGGTGAACTCTCTTGGCAAATAATATGGACGACAACTTAGTGCTAACAGTTCAATATCTGGACTGCAGAGACGACACTTCACAGTAACATGTCCAGGATTACACCATCTGTTGTTCACAAGCACTGCCAACCCACCTTCTTTCCTTTTGCCACTCCTCTTTAAATCTCTATCTGCTCGTATGGTCAGAAAGCCTGGCAAGGAAACGCTGGAGTCGGGGATATGATCCTGCAGCCATGTCTCAGGGAAACACATAGCACTGCATTCCCGATACTCTGGATGGGTCCTTGTTAGGGCTTGAAGTTCATCCAACTCGTTTCCCAGCGATCTCACATTGCCCATCATGATCGATGGAAGAGATGGTTTAAACTTCATTCTTCTCTCTTTCTCCCTCTTCTTTGCTCCTGCTCTGCATCCACGACACCTCCTTTTCAACTCATTTGGGATTTGAGGCTGTAGTTGAGATATTATTTGAGCTTTGGAGATGTTAATCAGCTGCTCCCGGTTGAAAAAAAAACAACAACCTTGTTGTCATGGTTACGCATCATAACAAATGTCCAAAAGCAAAGATATTTCTGTAAAAAAAATCCTTCCAGCTGCACAGCATCCGACACCAGAGGAAATAATCATCCAAAAAAAGCGATTGATATCCAGACAAAAGAGGAATTAAAGTTTTCTAAAGTAATATCTCAGAATGAAAGTAACAGAGCTACTCCAACATGCAGCCACCTTGAGCGGTGCATTTCTAGAACTAAGCAGCAGCCTTGCCATCCATCCACACAACCAAATGTGTTTGACCATTTTGGTGGATATTTTGAGCATCACATTAGTGTGTAGAAGAAATAATGCTGTTATCTGTGTCAGTTTCACACCTATTTTTTGCTAAAACCTTCATTTTGTGATAGTTATGCTAATGACTGATTTTCCAACTCGTTACACACACACTGACAGGATTTTTTTTAACTTCATGTTTATACTGTTGGCATGATAAAAATCTGACCCGAGAAGCCAGGTCTTCTGTCTGCAGCAGAATGTCCCCACTGGATGGTAAAATCCCGTTGACTCTTAATGGTCCAAGCGACAACTTAAAGTCAGAACTTTGATGCCTGAGGGGCACAAAATCACAAAGCTTCAACACATCAGAGAAGCACACAAATAAAGCAGCATTTTAAATAAGTGGAATAAAAGTTTTACTGTTTCTTGAAGACGGGAACTGCAGTCAGAGCTGGCAAAAACGCTTCCTCAGACTGCTGCAGCGTCTTTGCCAACTGGAAATCAAAGCAAAACAAGTAAAAAGCTGATTGTCCTTGTGCCTACGAGTCTATTATATCTTTCAAGTGGCAAAGCATGCTAGCATTAGCAGCGCTCTGTTTTATTACCTTTATTGCAATTTGTCGTCTAAAGAAGGAAGCCATGTTTCCTAAACGTGTAAATAAAATACAAAGTTAAAATTCATGCAAGATTGGTCATGTTTCCACGACCTGTTCATTGACGTGACATTTTACTTCCTGTTTAACGTCACGGCTTCCGGTCCGCTCGTCGAATCACGGGCGTCGCTTTCAAGCAGCGTCACGCATCAGAAAAGGGTTTGTTCGATTTTAACACCCGCTCCTCCCGGACAATCAGAAACCCAATTTTTTTTCATTTTCATTTTTTCATTTAGCCTTTATTTATACAGGTTAGTCTCATTGAGCCACGAGAACTCATTTTCAAGAGAGACCTGTTTAGGGAGCACATGGTGGGGGTTAAGGGCCTTGCTCATGGGCCCAGAGTGGGGCGAATGAGGGTGAATTATATTTTTCTACCCTGAAATAAAACCAAATGAAATAAATTTTAATATTATTTTCCCCCCAGTCAATTAATTAATATCATAAATATTTTTGTTAAATTTTAAAATATGAAAATGTGTTAAAATACAGAAAGAAAAAAAAATTGGGAGGGAAACATGAACTAAAATAAGATTAAAATGTAGGTAGGCCCTACCCATTTTTCCCCCCCAAAGCCTTGTTTTGATTAATTTTATTTAAATAGTTTAAAACATATTTGTCTTAACAAAAAACAAACTAATTTTAAGTTACAGCAAGTTTTAGCCAATTTGTATACTTGTGTCACAAGTGCTTTTATTTTAAATGTGTGGATAAACAATAAACTGTGTCCTAAATAATGTAATAATCGCATACTTTTTACCACCCTTTTAAATATTTAGTTGCTATACTGCATGAATTTAATTTTCTAACAATTTTTCATTAATTTGTGTAATCTTAAGCAGCTTTAGTTCTGTATAAACAAGTACAGGGATATAATTTATGTAACGAACGAAGGTAAATTAAATATGTTTTAATAGACTTAACAGATTTCAAAAGTAAAATGAAATGATTTGTGCCAAGACTTTTATTTATTTGTATTATATGAATGAAAACCCCTTGAAACCCACAGCAAACTTAACATTTTGGTATAGTGAACAGAAATCAAGCCAAAATAAAAAGAAATACAGTGTATACAAATGTACAAATCTAAAAGCAGTCATAGGTAGTTTACACGATTAAAACAAAAGTCCAGTCTGGATGTTGACTTCGTTCACTCATTAACGTCCAATCCCTTTTTCGCAAGTACAAACATAGAAGCACAGTAGAACGAACATAACTAAAATAAAGTCAAATCAAAAGGCCAAACGTGTGACGGTAGTTAAGTCTTTTACGAAGGCATCAGAATAAAGTCAAATAAATATGAAGACGACAGTCAAGAGGCCACTGGTGGAGTCTCAGAGATGAGTCGCAGCAGGAAACCCTCCTAACTCTAGGAGAAACAGGCAAATGTTGATGCCACTGATGCCTGAGGCAGTGAGTGCACATAGAGGCAATATGGCACAGCTTGGGGAAGGGGGGTCTGATCAGAACTGTTGAGTCCCTGGAGTAGCTTGCAGCAAAGAGTTCATCCCAAAAGACAAACAGCAGAACTCAGGAAACATCTGTGAAGGAAACAAAAGAGTACACAAAACAAATGTTATTAGCTTTGTTCAATAAAGCACAAATGACATTAGCTCTTGTCTGAAGTTGTTCATTTTAAAACAAGACAATAACATGAAGTTCAAAGGCAAAGCGTTTCAAACAATATCTACTTACAACTAGCAGGCTGCTCTCCAAACCTTCGCATTAGCTGATCATGTGTGAACTTGACAAAAGCATCATATTGTTCTGTGGGGGGAAAACAAAAAATTAACATTTGTCTGGATCACAATTCATTTATTTAGTGTGAAATAAAAAAAACATCTCACCAGCGAGCTTTGTCGTCAGTATCTCATCGTATTCCTCGCGGATTTTCTCCTCTCGCTCCTTCAGTAGTCGCTCGCAGATCATCCCAACCTGTCGGAGGGAGAATAACGGCTGTTCTTTCCTGGAGGGAGACGAGGCACCTGAAGACGTGCCTGTTAAAGAGGAACAAATGTTACAAGTTAGGTGACTGTAAACGGGTAAAGACGAGGCGACAAGGTTTTTCTCTGGCTCTGTTTTTATACGTGACAGATCTCTGGAAACACAAGTGTTTATTTCCTGTGGTGATGGAGGAAAACGACACATTTGTACTGTAATGCTGGGCTCGTTGAATCTGCTGTAGTTTCCATGACAGGTCACTAACTGGTGCTGTGAGTTTTGCATTTCAGCGACATGCGTGAGCGCAGACGCGTCAGTCCCGAGCACGAAAACGGTTACATCCAAAATGGTGAATAGAAGAACGTTGGTTTGGGCCAAGGATGAGGTCGAGTTGCTCCTACGTGTTGGAGAAGGGGGAGTAGCACAAACAGCACTCTGCTACTCGCACAAGTGCAGAAAAACTAGACTGCAGCTGTTTGTGGTGCTCTTGTGAGACTTCCAGCTTGAGACCTTGAAGCAAAATGTTTCGTTGTCAGAGAAAAATCAACCGCTGTGCGCACGAACAACCGAAAGGCGGCAGAAACGCCACGGTTTACATCAAAAGGGTGGGGTTGTATAAACGGGTTCAAGTTTTGTGGCTGCTCTCTTCTTCAGGGATCACCACAGCAAACTGTCGCGCCAAGACGTGGCAATTGTTTTTACGGCGGATGCCCTCCCTGACGCAACCACAGCCCTCTGAGTGGAGCAGAGCGCTGCTATCTAGGGCGCCCGAGGGAGAAGACAGTGGGGGTTAAGGGCCTTGCTCAAGGGCCCAGAGTGGGGTAAATGAGGGTGGAGGCAGGTGTGGGTGCTTCACCTATTCCACCCACATTTTGACGTTGTCGGTTCTGGGAGTTGAACCAGCGATCTTCCGATCACAGGCTCCTCTAACCTCTGCTCCACCACTCCCTAGCGGTTTTTTCTAACAAATTAAAACATTTGATTATTATGCACTGATGGTTGATTGTTTTGGACAGATGGTCCCCCTTCTTTGCATGCATAAAGACAGTTTCTTTGGATTCCACTGAGGGCTGGCTTGAAACAGGAGGTGCTATTTATAAAACAGATTTGGGTTGGCAGACCTCAGACTGATGAAGCCTTTCGGATTAAAGACGTAATGTTTCTCCCAAAAAAGAAACGTGTCCAGATGACATGATTTAACCCTTTTTTGTGACTGTGCCTACATAAAGAGAATGTGATAACAAGCGGCCACGTGTTATTTGCAACCCGAGTAACAAAGCATCGTATCAGCTGGATGACCCACTCAATCCAGTGGCAAAAATGGCTGAACCAAACGACTGACGTAAACAAAGTTGTTCTGCTTTGAAGATCCAGACATGAAGAAGAAAATTTAAAAATCAAAGAATCAGTTTATTACGATCAATTAAAGACTGACATCAGTAATCTTTAGTGTTTTGTTCTTGTTGCACATTTAAGTCGTTTGTTGATGACACAAACTTGGACTGACACTCTGCTCCAATTAAAAGAAGGTTCTTCGACCGGGTCATCACAGGGCTCACCTAAAAGGACTGTCACCAGTATTTTGTTAGAGCTTCAGTTATAATCGGCGATTTATAAGCTCATGAAAGTGCAGTGAAGCATCGTGTTTGTGAGTGCTTCTTCAGAATGGGGCGGCTGTGGTTGAGTGGTTAGAGCAGTCACCCTCTAATACAAGAGCTGGGGGTTCGATTCCACTAGCAGTCACATGTGAAGCATCCCTGGACAAGACACTGAACCCCTCATTGCCTCTGATGTGTGTCTCATCGGTGTATGAATGTGATAAACCTCTGATTATTCTTTGTATAGTAGAGTGCTGTATGAATGGGTAAATGAGGACATAGATTGTATGTAAAGTACTTTGAGTATCTTGATAATACAGAAAGGCGCTGTATATGTACAGTCCATTTACCATTTACCAATAATAGGAATGCACAATATTGGATTTTGGCAGACATCCGATATGTTAAAACTTATTTGGCTGATTACAGATACTTTATATACTTTCCTTCGTCAGAACATAGCCCTCTCTCTTATTTAGGCTTATTTGCTACAAAAATTGTGTAACATCTGGTGACATATATTCAGTAAGAGCCATATGATGTGCATAGCACTTTAACTTATATTAAATTAAAAATGTTAATTGTTATTTATTAGTATTAGTCACATGCAATGCTCTCTCACTTGTGGAGGCTTGTTCCAGGTTCCTAGCTGCAGTGTGGGATCCTCTGCACTCTTGTGCATGAAGGACAGCCTTTTTAACGGGGATAGCATTTGACGTCCAAATGTCTGTGGTAAAACTCACCCAAGTGCCATCGGCTATTAGCTTCTCAACGATGTCAGAAATGACGGCTTGTAACTCGGGTAAGGCTGCGTCAGAAAAATATCTCTGACTGAGAACTGAGATGTAGCGAGGCTCGACTTAGTCCAAAAATCTTTGGAATCCATTATCCTCAACGAAAAAAAAACTTCCACACCGCCAATATTTTGACTTCTTCCTCTCCATCGTGATCAGATCAGGTAGGCGCACGTGACGTCATCACGTTGTGCTGCCACTGCAGGCATCCTTGTCACTGGGTTGTCGTACAAAAACAGCGCCTTTTATATCGGCGAGTTATTTTGACGGAATGGCCGATTTTTTACTTTAACGCTAATATCGGCCGATACCAATACCAGCCGATAATATTGTGCATCCCTAACCAATAACTAAACGTCGATTACATCATCTTGTCAGTAACTACCTGGAAGTGGGGGTCCGGCCTGAATGTTCTGCAGATCCACGGGACAGCAGCCCTCTGCCTGCTGGAAGGTAACGTCCAGGTGTCGACGTTTCTGTAGACGCTTGTACTCCTGTTTTATGTTGTGCAGGATTTGCTCTAAAACAAAAACAGAAACATGACTTAAACCGCGTGTACACAATTTTCAAACAAAACCACTCCATTTAGGTAGGGATTAAACAACCAGTCATTTTTACCAATTTATATAATGGTTTTAGGCATTTATACCAAACAACGTTTTCAAACTGCAGTAGGCAGTTCCCACATGACATTAAGACAATTTAACAAAGAAAAACTGGGCTTAAGCCAAATTCTGACCATATTTTAACAAGAAAAACACAGAGAAAGCATAACACTGATCCTTATGCTGAAAAAACAACTTGTACTAAAAGAGTGCTAGCAGGTCTGCTGGTGTAATCACGAGTGAATCTTAAATTTCCTACCTGTGGTGAGTCTGGACGAGACATCCCCAAAAGGCGACGGTTCCATACGCAGATATTTCTGGGGCGAAGACACCGGCGACATGACCGGCGCACATCTCCTCCTTTTAGGAGAAGCCTGGCTCATTAATGGATCAAAGTCCAGAGTCCTTTTCAGAGTAGCTCCGCACGCCATCACTCTTCAGTTTAACTCGAAAAGATGTCAAACAGAACGTCTTCAACAGAGAGGAAGTTGTTGGTTCGGGCCCCGGTGCCGCTAATGCTAGCTAGCGTTAGCTTAGTTACAACGCAGCAGCGATTCCGGGATGGAGACACATACGAAATTCTTTCGTCTTCCGTTATCTTCTGCTGATTAATTTGACAATATTTATGTTAGATAATATACCCTAAAATAGTTTCAATATAAAATAAACTCGTATACACGCAGTAAATAACCGGATGATAAGAGATTTTTAACCTAAAACGACTGTAAGGACAGCGCCTGTCAAACGTCCCTTGTCTTTTCTTATTTGGTGGTTGGTTAGTTGTGAGCATGCGCAAGAAAGTGAGTTTGTATCGGTACTTGTAGTCTAATCCGTTGCTTTGTCTATTGTTTGCGTACTTTAAAAACTACATTTCCCGAAGGCAAAGTAAGCGTCCTCGTTTAAAAATGTTTGGTTTGGCTAAAAAAAATTTAAAACAAAAAAAAAAAGTTTCAGTTTCATGTAAAAAGAAAAATAATTTAAACATGTTTTATATTTCCCTTTTTTCAACAGATAAAAACGTTTTATTTATTTAAAACAGAAGTTATATATTCATGAGTCCAACAGCCACAGGGTAGAAGCTGTTCCTCAGTCTAGTGGTTCTACATTTAATGCTCCTCAACCTCCTTCCTGAGGGCAGTGGTGGAGAAAGTACTCAAATACTGTACTTAAGTAAAGTACAAATAAACAGACAAAAATGTACTCTAGTAAAAGTACCACATTAGCATTTTTACTTAAGTAAAAGTAAATAAGTACTTACTTTTAAAATACTTAAAGTATTAAAAGTAAAAGTACTTGCTGAATGTATTACCTAATGTAATGGTCTACGTGTCTTTAAGTCTGCGTACCATATGTATATTTTCTGTAATACATTAATAGTGTTGTTCCGTTTTAATGAACAATGCTGCAGATAATACATGTTTTTATTGTGTTTACTCCGTGACAGAGTTCACACTTGGACTTGTGATTCTGTGCGTCAGAATTTCAGGGATGACATGCAGAGTTGAATATCATTAAGCAAAATAAGAAAGAGGAATGATTATATCTTTGAAAGTTTTTATTTAACACAAATCAAAACCAGTGTGTCATTTTAACTGCAGTAAACACATTTAAGTAAAAGTTGTCTGCCTGAACAAAAGGAGGATTAGACACAACTGACAAAGGAATATTTGATCAGTTCAACTCCAGTTTGTCATCAACTCTAGTTAAAATACCGTCTATTCAACCTTGTAATGGGCCAATAGTGAATATTTTAACTTTCTGACACCATTTTTAAAACTTGGACGATCCATTTCGAGACATCTCTTGTCTCCTGTCCTAACATCATGAACTGACACATTTTAATATTGCAGCAAGAATTTCTTGTTCAAGTTCAGAAGAAGTTGGTTTTCAAAGATTTTTGAGTCCAATCTGGCTCTTTTGGGAGAGAGAATCTGTCCTGTTGTACTGAGCAGTTTTTCAATAAGGCCATGGGTGGCGCATATCTTCTGGGTGACTCTTGCAGTGGAATACATTGTGGGTGTGTTAGCGGTGCTGCAGGTGCACCCAGCTCAGTGACATACATACTAGAATATATGTCATTGGCCCAGCTCTTCTTGAAGGAGGGGCCTAACGTTACCTGCCCACGTTGCAGTGATTCAATGGACCAACTCCCCTCTCACCATCGGTTACTTTCAAAGTAACAAACAAATCAAAAAGCCGCAACATGAATGTAACTTGTAATGCAACGCGTTATAGAAATGTAGTGTAGTAGAAAGTACAGATACTTGATGTAAAATGTAGTGAAGTAAAAGTATAAAGTACCCACATTTAACTCTACTTAAGTAAAGTACAGATACACGAAAAATGTACTTAAGTACAGTAACGAAGTATTTGTACTTAGTTACATCCCACCACTGCCTGAGGGGAGTGGGGCAAAAAGTGTGTGTGCTGGGTGAGTGGGGTCCTTCCAGATGCAGGTGGCCCTATTCCTGCATCTGGAGGTGTAGATGTCTGTGATGGTGGGGAAGCTGACTCCAACCTCTTCTGTGCAGCCTTCACCACTCTCTGCAAAGCTTTTCTTTCTGCAGCTGTGCAGCCTCCATGCCACACGTTGATGCTGGAGCACAGGATGCTCTCCACTGCACACCTGTAGAAGGAGGTGAGGACTGAGCTTCCCAGACCAGCTCGTCTCAGCCGCCTGAGGAAGTAGAGTCGCTGATGAGCTTTCTTGATCAGGCTGGTGGTGTTGTTGCTCCAGCTGAAGTTG